ATTTCACAGTAAAACTCAGAAGGCTCAGTTAGAGAATACCCAACATGTTCTCATCCCAACTCGTCAAATACCGCACCTTTGTCAGTGGACCTACACACATCAAAATATGACATACAAGGTGCCCCTCTTGCATTAGTTTTAGAAGTTTAGGGACACCAGGTCAGTTTACACTCTTTACTGTACATGCATTGTATCTTTTCAAAATACACTTCTATTTTCAGTAGAAATCTACAGTTTCTGCTCATCAAATGCATACAGTTTTGTTTTTGTTTTCAAATTAAATTTACAATGTGGGTGACAAGTCTGTGGTTAGCTTTAGAAAACATTATCATCATCTGGTTTAAAGTAAGTAGGCCTACGGTTGTTAATAATAAGTAATAAGTAATATAATGTCACATGACGTGTAGGCCTGTCACGATAACAGATTTTGCTGGGCGATTAACTGTGTCAGAAATTATTGCAATAAGTGATAATATTGTGTAATATTGTGCTTTTAAGACCATTTTTATTATTGTTGTAATTTAGCTGTTTTTAGACCATTTTTAAAGTACACCCTTTTAAAGAGAAATAAAAATTTATTTAACAAGAATATTTAGAAATGCAAAAAAGAAAATTTAAATATCCGAAATAACGCGTAAAAATACCAAAATAAATAAAGACCTTACAAATACAAAAAATAGATTCTCAGTCCCTGTTAACAAAAAGTGCACTGTAATAGAAAAAAATCAAACAACCAAAAACGATAAAATGGACTCTCAGTCTCTTATCAAAAATTGCACTTGAAAAAAAAACCCCAACCAAACACAATATATAAATAGACTTTGTCTCTATTAAGAAAAAAAAACACTCAAAAACTCTCTTTGTTACCGTCTCACTTTAAATTTACCGTGCGATTAACCAACTTATTGCATATCGCAACAGGCCTAGTGATGTGTCTCCTAAATAACTCCATAGACTTTTGGTTTCACCACAGGAGGCAGGAAACCAACAGCGGCCTCCTGGGTGAAAGTCCTGAGTTTGTTTGACCCATCCACCTCCATGGACTTTCACACTTTATACTAGTGCAGCAGTATTTGATGAATTGGGTTGTTGCCCCGTACATTAAAAACTGCCACCTGCCGGTACGTATCATATCTCCACAAAGGGTACTTCTGACAGAACGGTGGTATTTCGGCTTTTTTTTTTTTTTGCCTTTATTTGACAGGACAAATTAAGTATGGAGAGGGAAGAGAGAGCGGGGATGACATGCAGCAAATAGCCGCAGGCTGGAATCAAGCCCACAGCCGCAGCCAAAAGGACAGAAAGATCTTGTCCTAACCACTGAGCTACTGGGCGTCCCAAGAATGGTTGTGTTTGACAAGTTGGTAGTGAGAACAGGCAGGGGGGATGGCAGTGGAGATACCTGCACACCAATACAACTGAGCTGCACAGCCACAAAAAAGGTTCACAGGCTAAAAGTTCAAAAAGAAAAGTGCTCCAAGTGTAAAAAGGAAATAATAGAAAGTAAATAAAAACAGCAGCAAATGTTTCAGTCCTTGACTCTCATCAGTGCTACTGACATGAATGCTTCACAGAACAGAAACAGACACAGAGAGATTCCTACCAGGTGTGATGAGTCAGTCAACTGCTGCCACTGATTAGATGAGATCATTAGATTTATAAAAGAGAAAATACAAAACATGCCAAAGACTATCCAAGACTGCCATACTGGTGCATACAGATGTCTTTAAAAAGCAAGGCAAGTGTTTCATTCAGTCCTAAAGGCTGCTGAGTGCAGTAGCCGGATATCTGGCTCCTGGAAGTTTCTCGCTCCAGGTGATAGCGCTTCTGTGTTCGTTAATTCTGGTTCTGATTTGCCGGCTGGTTTTGCCCACATATTGCAGACCACAGGGACATGAAAGAAGGTCAATAACGTAGGTGGAAGGACAAGTAATACATTTCTTAATCTTGTATTGTTTTTTGGTGATATGACTAACAGTATTGGCTTTCTTGTTATTTTGGCAGGAAGTGCAATGGTGGCGAGGAAAGACGCGCAGTGGGCCGTCCATACTTCCTCCTTGTGCAGTATGAGTCATGGAACAAATGGAGTTTTGTTCATTTAAATTTTACTTTGTTTCTTGATTGTTTTCCATCACTGAAATGCTTGTTTAAATTTAAAATCAGGTTTTCTTACATTTTATAATTTGTTGATTTTAAGTTGCTGCCTGTGTAAAACACTTAAAATCTGGATTTGATAAGCGCTCATTAAATAAAGACAATTGTTAATAATTTTTACAATTCTAGAGTTGAACAAGGGGAAAAAATCAAAAATAAAATACAGAGGAAAAACATCTCTGCGCTGCACAATTAGAGCCACTGTAAATATTCAGTGATTAAAGCCTTCAGTCACTAAACCTGTTCCAGATCTCACAATGGCTTCATCATTACATACTTTTCAGTGACTCACTGAGACTGAAGTTACATCAGCTCGAAGACACCAATTAGTGAAATAGTTTCCAAATGAAAACTGTGTTTATAGAATTTGGCCTCTTACAGACACACACAGTCACAAACACACTCACTATATGCTGCTGCAACAGTCCCACACTGGACACAGAGTACGAAACAGCTGAACAACACTAACATCTAGAGGAAGGACACAGTAAGTACATGCAGGCTGTGACTGACTGAGCTGCTGTCAGAGGAGGCACCGCCAGTTACAAACAAGGGTCTTTCTCAAAATTTGGCCATAAATCAATGAGGGTTTAAAGGTCCATGCTGGGTTAGACCCCAGAATTGCTACTTGCGGCTTTATGTTGTTATTCTCATACATCTTCAGAACTGTGACGAGCTCTGAAACCAGATTTTTACGTTTTTCAAAGATGCAGTTTTGAGCCAGATGGAAGAACGTGGTCGCAGCTCCATGCCATTATAAGGCTGAGTCCTTCATTACTGCAAATACAACTGTAGTTATATATTTGTTGTGCTCTACAAAGCCTGTTCAGTGTGAGATGAGTTATTTCTCACTATAAAAACACAGTTAAAATGACACAATGCTTACGAGCAGGCTAAGTTCAAATAAAGTGCATTTAAACACTTTCCACTCTTCACAAGCAGCTCGTCTGCTCCGATTCACTTGATTGTGTGTGTTTTGGGAGGTGGGAAGTTACCAGCAACTACTAGTCACATACTGATCTTTATCTTAACAAGCTGAAGCATGTTGTAAAGGAGCAAATACAAAGACAAACAGCCCAGTGTGATAGATTTCACCATGACTGAGGTGTTACGTCTGTTTGTACCTGAGATGAACATTCTCTACATGAAAATGTTCTACTGTATGACCCCTTTAATCTCCCACGAATAATGCGTAAGAATAAAACCTTAAAGGTTAGACTGATTAACAGTTGTTGTATCCACTAAGATGTGTGGAAGGGGAAATTGTGATTTGCTGCAGTCACGCCAATGGAAAGAAAAGAGAATTATAAGAAGTAAGAATAAGAAGTGTGAAAATATTAAGTATAAGAATACAGTAAAATAGAAATGAAAATGTGCATTATGCTAAAATATCAACACTAGTATTTAAAATATTAAGAATAAAATGTAAACTCACTGGTCACTTTATTAGGTACACTTCTTCAACTGCTTGTTAACACAAATAGCTAATCAGCCAATCACGTGGCAGCAACTCAATGCATGTAGACCTGGTGAAGACGACCTGCTGAAGTTCAAACCGAGCATCAGAATGATGAAGAAAGGTGATTTAAGTGACAACTGGTTGTTGGTGCCAGACGGGCTGGTCTGAGTATTTACTGGGATTTTCAGCACAACCATCTCTAGGGTTTACAGAGGATGGTCCCAGAAAGAGAAAATATCCAGTGAGCCAAAATGCCTTGTTGATGCCAGAGGTCAGAGGAGAATGGCCAGACTGGTTCAAGATGATAGAAAGCATCTCTCTCTCTCTCTCTCTCTCTGTTTCTTTTGGGGGTATGTGATTGTGTATGTCTGTGCAGGTGGGTGGGCTAGGGTTGTATTACTGTCAAGACTAAAAGCACATTGAGATTACTCTGTGTGAAATGTGCTATATGAATAAAATTTGATTTGATTTGATTTTACAGTGTAATTTAAAACGCCAGGTTTGAAAATTGTAGACAGAGATGCAATTGCTCTCAACTTTATTTAAAGGCGCTGTATGTAAGAATGTGACCAAAACGGTTACTGCACTCAAATTCAAAATACTGCTGCGAGTCATGTCCATCCCCCCTTCCCTACAGATTCGAGGGAGATTCGCTGGAGACTGATTTGTTTGCCCACGGGCGGCTGCCGTGGCAGGGCCGTGTTGCCGCGTCCTTGATCTTCGGTTTTCCAGCGGACCGTTTGAGCAAGTCCGGCTTTTCTGCTGCTAACGCTGCTGCCGGGATACAGCTGAGGAGACTGCTAATGCTATGTACCGGGACACTGCTAATGCTGCTTGCCGTGCTGCTGTAGCTCAGTCGTAACTGTAACTGATGCTGAGACTCTACTGACTGCGTGACTGGTAGACGGCGGTGGGTGGCGCAACAGGCCAAAACACAAATTCAAAACATAAACATGATTTGCGGACCGTAAAAATGTTTTTTAAATGCGAATATTCTGGCTGTACTATTGTTGTCGGTGAGATCAGTATGTTATAATAACATTATTCCTTAGTCTCTGTGACATATTAGGAGGATTTTATGACTATTTGCTTTAGATTTCTTACATATAGCTCCTTTAACAGTTAAAGTGTTAAAAGAACGGTAAGTTATATCAACAGTTAGCTAGCTCATGCCTTGCTAACGTAATGTTAACAGCTAAGAAACTTTTTTAAAAACTTGTTTTAACAAATAAATGCAAATTTTAAAAAGCAAAATGGATGTCTGTACATAAAATACTGGCATTACTTTTATTGAGAACACATTATTCAAGAATCACAACCTGAGTGTTAGCAACTAAAACATCGTGAATATTGTACCAGGTGGCCAGAAACAGGACTCTGAACGAGATCACAATACTTGTACTCTTTATTTGCCATATAGCCATTGTAAATATTACATTAAGTATTAAACTCTATAAAGATCACAGAGGAACAGTTAAAGATAAAATAATCACAACCTGAGTGTTACATTCAAGAACATTTTACTCTCTACAGGAAACCTTGGCGTGGACCAGAACAACAGCAGTTTAATATTTGAATGAAGAGGCAGAAAGAAATATTACAGGAACATTATAGTGATCCAGGCAGAGATCAAAATACAGCAACTGTACAGTATGTTTTAAATAATATGGTCACCATAATCTTATTAATGAGTACCACAGAGCCACTTTCAATCACATTTAACTGCTGAGTTTAATAATTAATCATTTTGCATACAAAGCACAGTTTATATGTTTCGGCAGTGCGTCTAGCAGCTTTACTCAAATGTGAGAGATTAAGATTGTAATAATATTTACTTTGAAACTGCTGAAAGTGTGGCTCCAAAACATTAAATATTCACATAATCATTATCAACATGTACTGATAAACTGCTGCAGTGTGTGCACAGCTATCATGTAGCTACAGAAAGGACTGTTTCACATGGTGAAAAGCAGATGACCACTGAAGGTGCTGTGGTGATTTACATCGTCAAATATTTTTGTGTGAGCCCACAGACGCAAAAACACAACATCTCCGACCTCTAGAAGCAGCGTGGCACCATTAGAAGATTTTGCAAAATGGGACGGCTGATGCTCATATGCAAGAAAAGTATGTCCTCCGTTCTTGACCAACATTGCGCCTGAACCATGTGAAGCATGTCCATGTGCACCTATGTAGAACTCAAAGTGGTAGGCTCCTCTCACTGGTGCAATGAAAAAACCTGTGGGACAGTTTGAGTCAGTGAATGTAACAAGAGAACCATCTGTAGCAGGGTGAAGTCAGCAGAGCCAAAAATTCAAATTAACAATTTAAACTGAGCTCACATACCTGTGTTTGGGTTGTAGGCATTTCCAATGTTAGTGAGGACATATCTGAAGACCAGAGGAGTGTGTGTGTTGAATGGTCCAACATCTCCTGACCCTGAAGCCAACAGAGAGGCTGAGAAAGCCACCTGTTTGACTGAGAGAGAGATAAAGAGAGAGCAATGTCATTGTTCTAAACTTAGTGGTTTTTAGTTTTACTATGCACATATTGTTTAGACTAAACATTTCCAAGTACTAAATTCAATTATAGTTTAGTTCTGAGTCTGACCTTCTCCATCTCTCATCAGAGCCTCCACCTGGTGTTCTGTGACATTTGACCTGGCTTTCACGGTGATCAGCTCTGCTGCTTGTGCTGCAAAAAAGTGCCATCATGACAAAGTTGTGTCTCATACATATGGCTAAGCCTACTATTAGTCACTTTGAGCTGTGAAGATCTCAACACAATACCTTGAAGTTGTTGCTTCTGCCTCTCCGACTCAGTCTTCAGCCTCTCCACCTCAGTCTTCTGTAGCTCCAGTTCTTTCAGCTTAGCTTTTTGTGCTTAAAAGAAAAAGGTCTGGAGGTCAATCATTTCTTGGAAATTGTTCTGAGACAATTCAGTAAGTAATCTGGACCATCATCAACAGTTTTGTCAACACGGTACTGCGTTATAGACAACTTGAAATGCCTCATACGAGAAAAAGTACAGCGTAACGCTAAGTGGGAGTTCCTACTTGTAAACTCAGAGCAAATCCATCTGGCCCGAGTAGTAGTAGAGTACATTTGGTTGTATTTCAAAAACGAATACTTAATATTATATAGCAAAATTTGTTCTGCATGCAAATCAATGTCAAAATATTATGAAGATTATCATTATTACTAACATGAGGAAACTGCAGAAAATATCTGAAAGTTTTCTGCTCTGCACAAACGTTATTTGGGACAATGTCAAAAATGCTTCTGTCTCAGTTATATAAGCAAGGAGGATGCACTGCTGAGAGTTTAGATGTGTGTAGACTTGACAAAGAAACATCAGTTTGTCACCGTCAGCCATGTTTGTTTACGTTTGGCATCATGCATCCTCCCATGCTCCCATCAGCCTCAGCTGTACTTTGTGTACGTGCTAATTAGCATATGTTAGCATGCTACTTTCATGGACTGATTACTGAATAGGCTTATTAGGCACATGCCCAGGGCCTCCCTATCCTTCACCTGTAAAATGACTCTCACATACCCTTTGCCCACCAAAATTAGTGCAAAACTTCACAGACGGGCCATAAAACAGGTTAGTAAACAGCAAAGCAGCATGGAGGCCAGTGAAAATGTTAACAGTGGCTATATCTCTACTTATTTGGGTCTCTCTCTGAAACTCGGTGCTGACTAAATTTGAAACAATGTTGGAGCGCTGCTTGGATGGAGATGGACAGTACTTTGTGGTGGGCTGTCAATTCATCGTGCAGGTAAAGGGGATAAAATTTGCACGTCCATCTGAGTGTCAAGCCAAATGTTAGTGATTGCTAGTGAGTCCTTTGTCGTGTGTGAAAGGGCCTAAAGAGATACAAAAAGACCAGGAGAGACTCAAAATGACTTAAAAAAAAACATAAAACAACTACAAAGAGACACAAAAACAACACAAAGAGACAGGGATCAACTACGAGACAAAAAGACACCACAGAGAACCTAAAAAAGACTACAATGAGAGACAAAAACACCAGAAAGAGACACAAAAAGACCCCAAGAGACCCCAAAAAACTACAAAGACACACAATAAGACCACAAGAGACCCCAAAACACTACAAAGAGACACAATAAGACCACAAGAGACCCCAAAAAACTACAAAGAGACACAATAAGACCACAAGACCCCAAAAAACTACAAAGACACACAATAAGACCACAAGAGACCCCAAAAAAGCTACAAAGACACACAATGAGACCACAAGAGACCCCAAAAAACTACAAAGACACACAATAAGACCACAAGAGACCCCAAAACACTACAAAGAGACACAATAAGACCACAAGAGACCCCAACAAACTACAAAGAGACACAAAAAGACCACAAGAGACCCCAAAAAAACTACAAAGACATACAATAAGACCACAGGAGACCCCAAAACACTACAAAGACACACAATGAGACCACAAGAGACCCCAAAACACTACAAAGACACACAATGAGACCACAAGAGACCCCAAAAAAACTACAAAGAGACACAAAAAGACCACAAGAGACCCCAAAACACTACAGAGACAAGAAAAAGACCACAAGAGACCCCAAAACACTACAAAGAGGCACAATAAGACCACAGGAGACCCCAAAACACTACAAAGAGACACAATAAGACCACAAGAGACCCCAAAAAACTACAAAGAGGCACAATAAGACCACAAGAGACCCCAAAAAACTACAAAGAGACACAAAAAGACAACAAGAGACCCCCCCAAAAAACTATAAAGAGACACAAAAAGACCAAAAGACCCCAAAAAACTACAAAGAGGCACAATAACACCACAAGAGACCCCAAAACACTACAAAGAGACACAAAAAGACCACAAGAGACCCCAAAAAACTACAAAGAGACAAAAAAAGACCACAAGAGACCCCAAAACACCACAAAGAGACCCCAAAAAACTACAAAGAGACACAATAAGACCACAAAAGACCCCCCCAAAAAACTATAAAGAGACACAAAAAGACCAAAAGACCCCAAAAAACTACAAAGAGACACAATAAGACCACAAGACCCCAAAACACTACAAAGAGACACAAAAAGACCACAAGAGACCCCAAAAAACTACAAAGAGACAAAAAAAGACCACAAGAGACCCCAAAACACTACAAAGAGACACAATAAGACCACAAGAGACCCCAAAAAAATTACAAAGAGACACAAGAAACTATAAAGAGACACAAAAAGACCACAAGAGACCCCAAAACACTACAAAGAGACACAATAAGACCACAAGAGACCCCAAAACACTACAAATAGACACAAAAAGACCACAAGAGACACTAAACGATGACAAAGACATGCAAAGATCACAGAGAGATGTTTAATTTGAGTAGAAAGTTGTGAGACATTATAGGACAATGAATTAAAAGTGAGGTACATGTGTTCTGTGACCTAAGATTCTTGAGAAATTAAAGAAAGTGTTAAAAAGCGTAGAAGAGTTCTTTAAACTGAAAAGATGTCTGACATGTGCACATTGAGAACACTACATGAAGATCCATAAAAGTACTCTGTACAGCTGTTTAACACAAGAGAAGTGAACTAAACTGAACCACTGCAAAACACTTCAGTGTTACAACATAATACAATAACTCCTGTAACAAAGCAGAGGCTCCTATTGCTCTTACTTCCCTCACTACCTGACATACTACTGTACCTTCATTCTCTCTCTGTAAGTGCCTCATCTCCACCCTCTGTTCAGCCAACAAGGCGCTCATCTCTCTCAGCACAGCATGGATGTCTTGAGTGCAGGTTTGTTGGCGGTCAGAGACATTTGTTGCTTCTCTTCCCTGGGATTCAGCTTGCTTTCCACGTGGAATAATTTCATTGTCAGACTCTGTCTGATGCTGAGCCGTGGAGAGAGAGCAGATCAGCAGCAACAGTGGAAAACACAGTGTCATCTCCATTCTCAAAGTGGCAGTCTGTACACTTCTACTCTGTAGTTTCTGTCTTCATCCCAGCCTTAAATAGTGTCTTATGCTGATCAATCATTAGCAGAAATATCTGTCAGAAACATGTGCAGGAGATCAGTTTGATAACAATTATTACTTGGAGAACATCATGTGGAAAAACAGCACTGAAAACACAGCACATGAACATAAATGATCTGCTAGTATGTTGAACGTAGCTTCCAATCCTTGAATAATCAGTTTACCAAAACTGAAAAAGTCTATTTTAATATTCTCAATAGTGTGTGTGTGCGTGTGTGTCTTGGAAGTCTCACTGTGTCATTTAAGGAGTTGCAGTGACATATAAACGACTACAATGTGGATGATCAAAAGTTAAATTATGATTTAAAATCCCCTCATGGCTGAGAACACTGACAGCTTCTATGAAAGACACAACTAGACAGATGTAATTGTCATCCTCACTGAAATGTACATTCCTCAACATTGAATAAATTCATGTGTGTAACAAAACAAGTAACAGAAGTAAACAAAAGACAACCATGTCTACCTGCTCAAACATTAATGACACAATCAGATACAGTGACCTTCCTGAGGTTGTTAATTGGCTGAGATAAGCAAAGACTTACCAGAAACCCAAGTTAGAGGAGTAATAAAACATTTCTCTCTTTGCTTCCTCAATAAATCCAGCACGGTAATAGAGTCTGACTTTAAAACAACAACAACAACATCTGAGCCACAGCCGCCTTTATTATAACTGGCACCCAGAAAAGAGACAGCATCACACCCACTGGTGTCCCTGCATTGGCCACAGGGCAAATATGAGACTGAGTTTAAGCTCATGTACAGCTGTAAAAAGGCCATGTAGGCCTGGTGCCCCAGCACATCTCTGAGCTCCTCTGCCTATAGTTTCCAACCCAGATCTCTCAGATACTAAAAACCAGCTGCTCCTGAAGATCATACGATCATGTGTTTGCAGTAACCGCCTCAGAAGAAAGACAAGTTCACAGACAGTACTGCAGTGACTTGTTTATGCTTTTATTCAAATGCAAGAGAACATGAAAATAATACATTTAATATGTACAAAAGATTGTTGCTGTAAAGCTTTGTCCAGATATTTACAGATAAAAACAGCACAGCTAGTGTATTATGCATCTGAAGGAACAAAGGGAACTCCCCCTCTCACATTAACAGCACAAGACCATTCAAGTTTCTGCAGAACAAAGTAAAAACAGTGGCAGAGTAAAGTGAGAGGGTTTGGTTGGATGCTTTGGTCCAACCAGCAGGTAGTTTCTGGTGTTCATCAGGATCCAGGTGAAGATACAGGATTGCTCGTGAGCTTGTGACATAAATCAAACAACTTTTCAACATTTACACAATTTTCTCATCAGTTACTGCACCTCCTTAATCTAATGTTAAAAAGCTCTGGCACAAGTTCCCTCACTGTCTATCACTGTGTATTTTGATTCAAATCCAGAGAGAGGAAAAACAAATGACACTTCCATCAACATGTACTGATACACTGCTGCAGTGTGTGCACAGCTATCATGTAGCTACAGAAAGGACTGTTTCACATGGTGAAAAGCAGATGACCACTGAAGGTGCTGTGGTGATTTTCATTGTCAAATATTCTTCTGTTAGCCCACAGACGCAAGTGCACAACATCTCCGACCTCTAGAAGCAGCGTGGCACCATTAGAAGATTTCCCAAAATGGGACGGCTGATGCTCATATGCAATAATAACACGTCCTCCATTCTTGTACAACACTGCACCTGAGGCATGTGAAGCATGTCCGCCTGCACCTATGTAGAACTCAAAGTGGTAGGCTCCTCTCACTGGTGCAGTGAAAAAACCTGTGGGACAGTTTGAGTCAGTGAATGTAACAAGAGAACCATCTGTAGCAGGGTGAAGTCAGCAGAGCCCAAGTCAAATTATTTTACATTTCAGAATTTGCATACCTGTGTTTGGGTTGTAGGCATTTCCAATGTTTGTGACAACGTGTCGGAAGACCAGAGAAATGTCTGTGTTGAATGGTCCAACATCTCCTTCACCTGAAGCCAACAGAGAGGCTGAGAAAGCCACCTGTTTGACTGAGAGAGAGATAAAGAGAGAGCAATGTCATTGTTCTAAACTTAGTGGTTTTTAGTTTTAATATGCACATATTGTTTAGACTAAACATTTCCAAATACTAAATTCAATTATAGTTTAGTTCTGAGTCTGACCTTCTCCATCTCTCATCAGAGCCTCCACCTGGTGTTCTGTGACATTTGACCTGGCTTTCACGGTGATCAGCTCTGCTGCTTGTGCTGCAAAAAAGTGCCATCATGACAAAGTTGTGTCTCCTGCATATGGCTCAGTGCTCCTGACCAGTTTATTATATGACATTCCTTGTAATATGTCGGCTCAAACAGGCTTTACTGTCTTGTTCTTATTTTCTTTTCAGCTTATGATACACTACTATTAGTCACTTTGAGCTGTGAAGATCTCAACACAATACCTTGAAGATGTTGCTTCTGCCTCTCCGACTCAGTCTTCAGCCTCTCCACCTCAGTCTTCTGTAGCTCCAGTTCTTTCAGCTTAGCTTTTTGTGCTTAAAAGAAAAAGGTCTGGAGGTCAATCATTTCTTGGAAATTGTTCCGAGACACAAAAACACCAGAAAGAGACAGGAAACAACTATGATGCAAAAAAACACCACAGAGAACCTAAAAAAGACTACACTGAGAGACAAAAACACCAGAGGGAGACAGGAAAAGACCCCAAAGAGACACAAAAGATCAGAGTTAGCCATGAAGAAATAGAAAAACACCACAAGAGACCCCCAAAAAACTACAAAGAGACACAAAGACAGCCCAAAAAACTATAAAGAGACATAAGAAGACCACAAGAGACCCTAAAGAACTACAAAGAGACACAAAAAGACCAATGAGACCCCAAAAAACTTATCAGACACATAATAAGACCACAAGAGACCCCAAAAAACTATAAAGACACACAAAAAGACCACAAGAGACCCCAAAAAACTTATCAGACACATAATAAGACCACAAGAGACCCCAAAAAACTATAAAGAGACATAAAAAGACCACAAGAGACCCCAAAAAACTACAAAGAGACACAAAAAGACCACAAGAGACCCCCAAAAAACTTATATGACACACAATAAGACCACAAGACACCCCAAAAAACTACAAAGAGACATAAAAAGACCACAAGAGACCCCAAAAACTACAAAGAGACACAAAAAGACCACGAGAGACCCCAAAATACTACAAAGAGACACAGAAAAACCACAAGGGACCCCAAAAAACTACAAAGAGACACAAAAAGACCACAAGAGACCCCAAAAAACTACAAAGAGACACAAAAAGACCACAAGAGACCCCAAAGAGACACAAAAAGACCACAAGAGACCCCAAAAAACTTAGAAGACACACAATAAGACCACAAGAGACCCCATAAAACTACAAATAGAGACAAAAAGACCACAAGAGACCCCAAATAACAACTAAAAGGCACAATAAGACCAGAAGAGACCCCAAAAAACTACAGAGACACAAAAAGACCACAAGAGACCCCAAAAAAACTACAAAGAGACACAATAAGACCACAAGAGACCCCAAAAAACTACAAATAGACACAAAAAAGACCACAATACCCCAAAAAACTACAAAGACACACAAAAAGACCACAAGAGACCCCAAAAAACTACAAAGAGACACAAAGAGACCACAAGAGACCCCAAAAAACTACAAAATGGCACGATAAGACCACAAGAGACCCCAAAAAACTGCAAAGAGACACAAAAAGACCACACGAGACCCCAAAGAACTACAAAGAGACACAAAGAGACCATAGGAGACCCCAAAAATCTACAAAGAGACACAAAACGACCACGAGACACCAAAAAATTACAAAGAGACATTAAAAGACAACAAGAGACCCCAAAAAACTACAAAGAGACACAATCAGACCACAAGAGACCCCAAAAAATGACAAAGAGACACAAAAAGACCACAAGAGACCCCAAAAAACTACAAAGACACACAATAACACCACAAGAGACCCCAAAAAAAGGACAAAGAGACACAATAAGACCAGGAGAGACCCCAAAAAACTAGAGAGACATGCAATAAGACCACAAGAGACCCTAAAGAACTATAAAGAGACATAAAAAGACCATAGGAGACCCCAAAAATCTACAAAGAGAGACAAAAAGACAAAAAGAGACCCCAAAAAATGACAAAGAGACATAAAAAGACAACAAGAGACCCCAAAAAAACTACAAAGACACACAATAAGACCACGAGACCCCAAAAAACTACAAAGAGACATAAAAAGACAACAAGAGACCCCAAAAATCTGCAAAGACACACAATAAGACCACGAGAGACCCCAAAAAACTACAGAGACACAGAATAAGACCATGAGAGACCCCAAAAAACTACAAAGAGACACAATAAGACCATGAGAGACCCCAAAAAAACTACAAAGAGACACAATAAGACCACATGAGACCCAAAACGATGACAAAGACATACAATAAGACCACAAGAGACCCCAAAAAACTAGAGAGACATACAATAAGACCACAAGAGACCTTAAAGAACTACAGAGACACAAAAAGACCACAAGAGACCCCAAAAAAACTACAAAGAGACACAAAGAGACCCTAAAAAACTACAAAGAGACATAAAAAGACCACAAGAGACCCCAAAAAACTACAGAGACACAAAAAGACCACAAGAGACCCCCAAAAAACTACAAAGAGACACAAAGAGACCCCAAAAAACTACAAAGAGACACAAAAAGACCACAAAAGACCCCAAAAAACTTATAAGACACACAATAAGACCACAAGAGACCCCAAATAACAACTAAAAGGCACAATAAGACCACAAGAGACCCCCCAAAAAACTACAAAGAGACACAAAAAGACCACAAGAGACCCAAAAAAACTACAAAGAGACACAATAAGACCACAAGAGACCCCAAAAAACTACAAATAGACACAAAAAAGACCAAGATACCCCAAA